CTGTCAGAGGTGGTTCTAGAACTACTATCTCAGCAGGCCATCAAACCTGTTCTACATCTTTCTACTAGGTTTTTATTCCAGACTCTTTGTTGTTCCCAAGAAAACTGGGGACTGGTCATCGATTTGTCCTGCCTCAATCGCTTTGTTCAACTGTCCCATTTTACCACGGAATCATTTCTAACCATCACGTTGGATATTTTCTCTGGGCTTATGGATGTTGCCAAAGCTTATCTCCTCATCCCTGTATCACCACATTCTCGTCCATATCTTTGGTTCGTCCATCATAGGGTGATTTATCAAATTCGTGCCCTACCCTTTGGGCTTGCTTCCACCCCCTTATGTTTCAGATAGTCAGAGCTTTTGCTCACCATCTTCATGCTCTGGGCTTGCGATTCCACCATTATATGGATGACTGGCTCATTTCAAACTAGAGTCAGCCAGCCATATTTGTCAGGTCCTTCTAGTGGCTACTCGGGTGAGCTAGTTGATCAAATTGAAGAAGTTCTTCCTCCAACCTACCCAATATCTCATCCACTTGGGTGTCTTTTTCAACACTCATATCAGTCAGGACCAACCTTATCTTCTACAACTTCGTTCCATGGAACTGGTAGTTTGGCACAGCCTTTCTGTTCACAAAGTTTTATTGCTTTTGGGAATGTGGTCTTCAGTGATGTCACTGGTCTCCCTCGGGTTGTGCTCGTATGCACTCCCTTCAGTGTGCTCTTCATGATCAACCTTGCTCAGGATCCCTTGTGAACTACTATTACCCTTCCTCCTATCCTGATTGACAATCTGCATTGGTGGTTGGACAAGGCCCATACGTCGACAGCCATCCCGCCTCCTCATCCTCGTCTGGATTGTCATCTTTTCACAGATGTATTCATTCAGGGTTGGGGTGCATAGTCAATCACTGGAGACTTTGGGTTGTTAGTCTGTAGATGAAAGGTCTTTGCATATTAACATCCTCAAGATTCTCACAGTCCATCAAACTTTGAATCACTTCCTTCCTCTCAACAGACATTGTCTGGTGATGAGTCATTCCAAAACTTTTATGGTGGTAGCACATATTAATCACCAAGGGTTGCACCCAGTCGAGATCTCTCTGTTTTCGATATTCTGGGTGCTTTCAATTTCATAATAAATTGTTCTTCCTGACCCCACCAAATATATCCGATTAAATGGTCTTTAGATCTCTTCGTTTTCCGGTGGCTTTGTAGTTGGTGGGGTTTTCCCCATGTAAATGCATTTGCCACATACCTCAGTCACAAATCACCCCTTATTTGGTCCCTGGTACTTCATCATTGGGCTCTGGCTGTCAATGCCTTCAGCCAGGATTGGTTCCACAAATTCCTTTATGTTTATTCTCCTATTAGATTATTTCATTGGGTGATCTCTCTCATTCATACTACTCCGTGTTGAGTCCTTTTGATCACTCCTTATTGGCCAGCTCAACCGTGGTTTCCCTGATTACAACAACTGCAACTTTTCCCTCTAGTACCTCATCCTTTGTCTCCCTTTCTTCTTCATTGAACTCAGTCATTGGTTCTACATCCAGCCATTCACGTCCCTTGTCTTCACTCCTGGCTTTCATCAGGTCCTTGGGAGGAGATCAGGTTTTTCCTGTTGAATAGCTTTCATTTTAGCTTGTTCCATACATCTTTCTTCAATGGAGGTATATCAGTACCAATGGAAAGTGTTCTGCATTTGGTCTGTGACTTAGGGATTCCCTGCTGACCGACCTACTGTGGCTCAAGTGGCAGAGTTTCTCACATGACTTTTAAACTGGGGTCTTCAGTCTCCTTGCTCTCGGATTATTGGGCCGCCATATCCCATACCTTTCGTTTTTCCTGATACCGTTGAGTTTTTGCTTCCTCTGTCCTTACCATGTTACTGCATTCCTTTTGGATTCATCATCCCCCCCCCAGCCTACTCCTTTGGACTGGGATATTAATGTGGTTCTCACTTTACCTCCGTTTGAACCACTTTCTTTGTGTTCCATGTGTCACCTTTCCTTTAAAACATATTTCCTTCTCCTCTTAGCCTGTGGATGTCAAAAGTCTTCATTTATTTGCCATTTACATTTCACCTATGCTTTACCACCATACCTATCTTCTTCTATATCTAGATTGTTCCTTTCTCCCAAAGACCTCGGTGGCTAGGGAGGGTAACTCCTCCTTTTCGCTTATTTTCCTTCCTTCTATTTCTCATCTCTATCCTTGTACCAATCCGGATAGACATCTATGTCCAGTCCGTTACTCTTCGTTGTTATATTGCCCACACAGCATTTTTCCATGGCACCCTTTCCCGACTCCTTTTCCCTTGGCAGTCTTCCTCTGTTCAGGATCTTTCCCCTTCTACCCTCACCAATTGGGTTTGACTTTTGAATCGATTGGCTTATTCCTCCTTTTCTTCTTTCTCCCGAAATTTGTTCCAGGTTTAACACCTCACCTTTTCCCTCGCATCTCGTCTTCATCGCCCATTGGAGGAAATCATACAGTCGGGCATGTGGACTACACCTAATATGTTTGTTTCCCATTATTTACACCATGTCGTAGTTTCTTCTTCGTCATGTTTTTGTCTTCCACCTGTGACCGTTCTTCAGGCTTAAGTGCGACTTTGACTGGGTAAGTTTATATTAATATTTTTCTTTTCATTTCAGGGGCCCTTGCTTCATATACTCATTATATGTATCCCGCTCTGTGGCGAGTGATGCCTGACCAGGTGTTCTTCAACTTGAAATCTGCACTGTACAGCTATGTTGACTCATGCTTTATCTTCCATGGCTTTGCAATGTTCACTGTTGAGATTGCTTATAGGTGAATAACCTCACAATGTAATTGCTTCATAAATTTGCTCATTCTGGTGATGACTCACTCAGGTGATGACGTTCCTGCGGACTCTCCACCGCATTCTCACCCCCTTTCTTCTAGATGAGTATGGGAGTCCTTGCCACTTTTCAGTTCCAAGCCACTGGGGTGGTCAACCGTGGAGACACACTCCTGAATGGGTTCCACACAAAGATGGCTATAACCATTCAGTGCAGAGTAGGGTGGTGGTGTTCTGTAGGTGTAGATAATGTGCTATCCTTCAACATGCAATATACACTCACAAAGGAGTGAGACGTCAAATTGCGGTTCCCCCTTTGATTGGGAGCCCTCGTCCTACCCCTGCATGGATGTTGGCATCCCATAGCTGGGTTTTGGATTTAGAGTAGAACCAATCAACATAAGTCCTCACACATGTTCATGGTTGTCTATATTCCTCCCTCGATCATACTCCTTCTGTATTGCGGGTCACAGTGGAGGTAAGGGGGATTGTTTTGGTTCTTTCCTTTATGCTATCCCTTGTTGTATCTTATTTTGAGGATGTTGTTGCTTTTGGGATGATTCCGGTCAGTTTTGTTTGGAGGAATTGATTTATATTATATAGACCTCCTTTCAGTACCAGATGTTGGTTTCCTGGATCAATACATCAAAGCTAACACGTATTATGCTCAGGAGTCAGAGAGGTTCTAGATTCAACCCCAGGCTCTTGAACTTGAGATGAAGATGATGTGAGCCTCATCCTACCCCTGCGTGGATGTCGGTTCCCGGTGGCATGGGTTTTGGATGTAGTTGACTTACCAAGTACGGTCCATCATGCCCTAGTGACTCTACATCAAGTGGCACATCCATTGTTTTACACACTCTTATACTTTGTGGAATTGAGTTACATATATAATTACATGGTTAGGATCACTATCCTGCCACAGTTCTCTCCCACTTGGATGTGCTCCCCTCTTTTTCCACCCTTATCTACTACACATTTCATGGATGGGCAAAGAGTATACCTGGTTCAGAAGTGGTGCGGTTTCCCTCATCAGATCTTCGGATCTGACTCTCTCATTTCCAGAGGTATCCTTCGGATGCTCTCAGGGATACTTCCCTGGAGCTGATTCCGCCACCTAATTAATGTGGGATTCTAGCTAATCTAGTGAGAGGAGGGAAGTACTTTATCGGAAGTTATAATTTTCCTATACTGAAAATGTATTTCCGATAGATATATCCCTCCGCTCACACTTCCCACCTTTCCTCTCCACTTTCCTCCGGTGCTTACGTTTTCTACCAAATATCGAAGTGATAGTTCAGTAGAGGCATATAGAGGGAGTCACATGCATCAAGTATGTCACACTCCTATTGGTGGAGAAGTGTCACATGATGATTTACATGAGAGACATGATGGAATTGTTTCATTCCACTAGAGGGTAGAAGAAGGCTTTTGGCATGTTTAAAGAAAAAAATTTCATATAGAGGGCAGCACTAAAAAAGAATAGCTAATCTTGTGAGTGAAGGGAAGTGCCTATCGGAAATACATTTTCAGTATAGGAAAGTTATAACTTATGATTGTGCTTTTCCAGCTCATAAAAGTTATTCACACCATCATAACAGTTCTTAAAATATTTGTTGAACTTTAGGTCTGAATTGTTTGAATATTAAATATTTTATATGAACATTTAAAATATTTTTTAGAAAACAAATTATAATAACTTCTGTATGCTTGATTATTGTATATCAAATTTTCCATTATGCAGTACTTAAAATATTAACATGAACATAGAGTTGTAACTCAGTCCCAGTTTTTTCTAACTAAAGTATTTTTTCTTAGATTTTAATGATATGTGCTATTTTGTAGAGCTTGTCAATCAATCAGTTGGCAAATACGTTTAGTACCAGTTAGATAATGAATTACTTTTAAATAATGTGTTTACATAGTAGTACAATTGAATCAGTTAACATATTAGTTTTATGCAGTGTTGCCTGTTCTGTTCACAGATTATATAGTGTTAAGGGCAGACCCCTAATTTGGAGAGCTATGCCTCCCTAGCAAACCCTCCATCTGAAATATGGGGATTTATTTTTTTAAATTCTCCCTACTTTGTGACTCCCACTAACATGAAAGTGTTAAGTTTTTTTGGATGAGCAGGGTAGTCATACTATGTAACTTGAAACCAAAAGTAGTATCTCGAAGCAGACAAGACCTAGGGGTGGATTTAATGATAGTCTGAAACCACATAAGATCACCATGTAGCTGTACAAAGACAGCCTGAAGTAATTTCAGCTTTTTTGGTTATTAAAAAGAATAAATAAACACTTCTTAAAGACAAAAAAGCTTATTTATTTTGCATTTAATAACTTTTGACCTCCCCTTCTGCCTCCTCTAATTAAAAAAAATCTTAGAAATGCCACTGTTTAATGTGATGTTTTAGAGTTAATGAGCTGATTAATAAAACAGCTGACTTGTACTAAAAACCAGTTGAAAAAATTCAATTTACATAAGTTAATTGGTGTTTAGTGCTAACATATTGACAGTTTGTGTATTCTTAGTACCTGCAAGTCAGCTGAAATATTTGTTTAACAAGTGTAGTAGCTTTATAATAGTCAGTCAGTTGATGGATTATATAAACACAGCATAGCTGCTTTGTAGTGCCAGTCAATATGTTGATTCAGTTGGTATGTAGGTACTTCGAGGTTTTGTCTTGTATCATCTTAGCTTCATCGAAAAACTAAAATACCTAAACACTTTATAAAATATCAGAGCTGTAATAGTCATACTTTGTTGTGCCAAAGTGTCACCTTGTGTTTTGCTGAATATTTAAAGTTGTATTTTAATGCTCTACATTATTTACAGAATAAAAATAAATAAAAAACAGCTATTAAATATTTCATAATTTATACAAGTATTGTTTTGTAGCTGATATTGAATATTTTAAATCTAACATCTCACTTTTGCCTGAATTTTATTTTGTTTTCTCACAGGAAGGACCCTCTGCCAAACCTGGTAGTGGAACTCCAAAATCATCAAAATCTTCACAAGGAGGAAGTAGCTCATCTTCAAGTAAAGAAACAAAACCTCCATCACTGTCAAAAGACAAAAGCAAGCATCACAAAGAAAGCAAGCAACATAAAGAAACTAAAGAAATGAAATCTCATAATAAAGAAGGAAAGGAGATATCCAAAAGGCCTCAGTCTCCTACTCAGGGTTTAAATTCAAGTGTAATGGTGTGTAAAAAAAGAAAACGTACTACTTCAACATCATCGGTTGCAAGTTCAGTGATGTCTGTGGAGAGTTCCTCAAAAGATAAGCAATATAAAGACAAAAAGGAAAAGAAAGAAAACCATCAAAAACTTCAAAATAAATCTAACATTTCAGAAAATGCAGTAAAGAAAGAAAAGGAGCAAGAAAAACCTTCAAAGCAGGTTACACAAGCCTCATCAAACAGCTCACTGAAAACAAAATATGATCTGAAGAAGAAGAAAGAAAGAAAAGAGGAAAAGAAGGATGTAAATATAGGGGAAAGTAATGTGAAAAGCAGCTCAACAACCAAACCAAAGAAAATAAAAGAACAAGAAAAACTTTCCCCTGTACCAATTCCTACGGCCACTGAAAGTTTTGAACAACTTCCTGATGATGGTAACAGCAGTCCTGCTTCAAGCATTAGTCTGTCTTCATTAGCCACCGGAGGAACACATGGACCTCTTGCGGCAATGATGGCAGAGATGGAAAAAGATAATGAACTATTGTCTCCGCTGTCGAGTTGTCCCGATTCCCCGGTAGAAACTTCATTACCCAAAAGTAAAGAAACATTAGATTTAAGTGACGAAGAGATTGACACAAAAATAAATCACGAAGAAAAGATTGACACTGCTAAAGCTAGCAAAGTAAAGAAAGAAAAAAAAGACTCCCCAGCACCTAAACACGAAAAAAATCATGTTATATTATCAGAAGAAGCATCAGAACAGGTCTCAGAAACTAAATCACAAAAATCAAGTCATCATTCCCAATTTGATCCTAGCTACTTGGCAGAATTAGAAAAACTACGACAACAGATAATGTCACTAAGAGACCGGGGTCATATCCAGAGGGTGGTAGATGTAATTGAACAAACGGGATTGTACTTTGTGACTGACTCCACCTTTGATTTTGACTTGTGTTGTTTAGACAAAAACACTATCCGTAAATTACAAAACTGCCTAACGGTCAAGTGAACAGATGTTCAGGGTCAAAACTGAGAGAATTAATGGTGTGTAAATTAAAAATTGTGAATATATTGAAATGCATTTTCTGTGAGGAAGCTGTGGAAAAATTTTTTAAGCACAATTAAATCTAGTTCATATTTTGTTTTTATTTCAAGCTTGGTGTGCATATTAATCAAGAATTCTTTTTTTATATGCCTTAGTTTAATATAAAGTGTTCAAAAATACCAGAAATAACATTCTGATTCATTTAATTTATCTTTTTTAATAAATATAATCAAATACCATTAAAATGAAGAAGAAAACTTTGTAAAAGTAATGCCTTTCTAGGCTGTTTTTTTTAAATTCCTGACTGATTTTGATATATTCTTTTATATATATATATATGTGTGTGTGTGTGTATATAATATCGGTCTTCATTCTAAAATTCAAAGTAATGCAATAGAATTGTTCCCTTAGGATTGTTCATAATTTTTAATATATTTTTCTTCTAACTGCAGTAGGTTTTATAATCACAGAATATGGAGAATCTGCTCTGTTTGTTTATTTTTATTTTGCTGTGCAACTTTGTCTCCTTTTGGGAACTGGGCTGGCTTTTTAGTTAGCATGCCAATCAAGCTGTGATGTGCCATTGGAGATTTTCTGCATTTTCAACTGTGGGAGCACTATAACTCTGACAGTCAATCTCGATTTTCAGTTAAGAGCAGCAGCTGCATAGTAGGTGGTGGGTTGTCTGATTTCCCTCTTTCTGATTAGAAGTTCTAAACCAGGATCTTTCATCTAGCGATTTAGCTGATGTGTAGCATAACTTGTTGTTCAGTTTGAAATTGCCAATACTCACTACATTTTGGAAGTGAAAAAACACTTCATTCTTAGGGTTTGGATAACTTGCGTGTTATTTTTGCAAATGATAAAAAAAATTTCTGAATTGACTATACTTTAAGAGGTAACATGATCTCATACACAAATCACATCTAGGTGTGTACTTTACCTTATATAGAATTTTTTTATTTGTGAAAGTTTTATGAGACTTTTTTTTTAAGTTGTTGTTAGCAGTACATATATATATGGAAGTTTCTCAGTCAAAATTTATTATGACTCTCCGCAGATGTGTAAATACTTGTATATACAAAACAGACTGGTAATATGATATGCTATAGGAGTGCTTGAGTCATATTACAAATAAGCTGCAAGATAGTGGGCAAGAGCAAGGACTTGTAAGCTTTAAAGAGGGGTAGGATAGTTGATGCTCTTCTAACTGGGGTGTTATTATTAAAGATGAATTTCTATGTCTAACTAATCACTCAGATTTTTACCAAAACAAGAAAACTGGTTTCTCCTAGGGAAAATATCAGGTATGAACTGTATTTGACAGTTTGGAGTGCAACAGACTGTGTCCCAGTTGCCGTATTTCATCAAAAATGATAAGGTGTTAATTATTTTTAACTGTATCATGAGGGATAAATTATAGGGAATGTCATAGGGCGATCAAGAAACAGTCTGAAACTGCTAATTTTTAAACACATTAAGAACAAATGTCATCCATGATTTAAAGCCTGCTTCTAATAGGTAATTTGGTTTAATAACCAGGGGTGTTTAGAAATTAGAAGAATTTATTTTTGTCACATGTGTGAATTTTAACGCTCATTGGGTTTTCCTGAATATTTTAGTCTTAGACTCTCAGAAGTTAGTGTTCAGCTTTGATTTTCGTTCCATCTGGAATGCTTCCCCAAGACAGACAAAGAAGGAGAAAGCTGTGAATTCTATTACTGGTTCTTTTTCTCCTCTGCTTCGGAGGGTGTGTCTAACGCATTGTCCAATCACTAGCCAAATGAAATCAGATAACCACAGCCACACCTCAGAGCGAGCTTCTGCAAAAGAAGAGATCAAGACTGTCACCAAGCACATTTGTTCATATCATTTTTGAATACATGTAAAAATATATAGTTATTTTAGGCATACAGACAGAACAAGAACAATATATATACAAAAACAATATCAACTATTTCATATTATACACAAGAATGAATATTGTGGTTAAGGTCCATTTTGATTTTCAAGTCATCATCTGGAAAGGTAGAATTCTCAATTATCTTGAGGTGATTGAATGGCTTGTATACAATTGTAAGGGGACAGATATTTCCTCCACAAAGATTACTAAGCTTGCAATTTTATCAGAAAAAGAGTATTGATTGATAGATTTTTTTTTAAACTTTATATTAAGGAGTTAATGTTAATCTTGTTGCAAAGTATAGATAAAACCCTCTGATCCACTTGACCCAATTTGTGTTGTTTCGTTAATGCAAGGCACTGGTGATGCTTTAATGTGTGTGGAATGATCTCGTGTTAGGGCTTGGGCACACTGTTCTCATAAACAGTGCTCTTCCGGTGGATGCTGTAATACTGGACAGAGATTATACTGTCCGTAACTGATTTGGCAAGTATAACAGTGATTTCAGTCTCTGTTTTTTTTTTATCGGTACAAGTATCGTAACTGAAACCAACCGAGCATCCTTGGGATAAACAACACATTTTCCACCATACTCTTTTTACCGTCATGTGTAAACCAGTTTATGTCCATACTCGGGGGTGAATGAGCTACTATTAAACAAGACACATTCTGTAGAGTTTATGTCACACTAACTAGCCACTTTATCAAGACTTCTTGGGATTGGCCTTGAGTATTTTGTTTTACTGAGTGGTAAAATGAATTAAAGTAATGCTGAGTGCAGTAACTGATTACAGACAGTACAAATCTTATTGTTTTATTGGATGCAAAAAAGTTTGTGTGTGTGTGTTTTATTTTGATAATATTTAATATGTAAATATGCTTTTAAAGATTTTTAAGAACTACAAAAAATAACTGAAAACCTGCTAGACCAACATTCATGCTAGAATTTACAGGTTTTTAGTTAGAATTAGGCTTGTAAAAGGTGTAGTTGAACTGTATAATAAACAGTAAAGAAATGAAGACATGAGTTAGGAATTGAACACATGACACTATTTGTGGACCCCCAAAAAAGTCACTTTTTATGTTGTTGAATCCATCCTTAAATAATATCATCAGTACATTTGTAAAAGTTTGATTTTTAATGTTATTTAATATTATTTATGTCTAATATCTTCATTAAAAATTTCATATTATCATTAGACATTTGCCAGGATTTTTCAAACTCGAATGTGTTTATAAAAGTTTTAAAATAGTTTTTGCATTACAAAGTCAAGGTATTTTTATAATGTATTTGAAACTGATTTTTGACAGCTTTGTACCTAATAGCCTTTCAAGCTAGTTTAAGAATAGTTAGCTTTTGGGGATTTCTTCAGTTAATTAAATTTTTTACTTACCTGGCTGAACTAATTAAATTCAATGTCATGTTTTCCTGGCTTATGATGATGATCTTAATGAATATTGACTCGTTTCGTCTTAAACAAACCACAATAGTATCGTTACCAAATTGATTGATACTAGATTTTAAGTTTTGAAAATAATTAAAAATTGTTTTTTAATTCATTGTATTGTGAATAAATAGAATATTTTTTGCAGAACACATTGATTCAGATTCTCTAATGTAAAAAGTAAGGTGCCAGATCTCCATATACTTTTTACAGAACAGTTGATTTTAATAGTAATACTTGATGAGACATATTCTGCCATATAAGCAGGTGTAGAGTAACTCATAATGGTGTAAGTAACCTAATTAATTCGTCAGTGTTTTGTGCAAGAGAACATAGTACAGTTTTTATGATAAAACCTTAATTGAAGAAGACATAAAAATGTTACTCATGGAATAACGAAGAAGTTGGATTAATCATCACAGATGTCACTTTAAGTTAAAATGATTCTAGTTAAAACAAAAAAGTTAAGTGGTGCTGCTTTAAGTAAAACTATTGACAACAGTACAAGGGGAGTGACTTTTAATGTGGAAAGAGAAAACTTCAGGAAACAAAATGAGTAACACGTTGTGGTAATGTATTCACACTAAGAACTACATGTTAAATAATGAGTAACACGTTGTAGTAATGTATTCACATTAAGAACTACAACATGTTAAATAATGAGTAACACGTTTGTAGTAATGTATTCACACTAATTATCAGTCCAGCAACTGATAAAGCAAATTCTATTTTAGTTACTTCTTTATAATCATAAATATACTTATCAATAACTGTTATACATTTTCAATATAAACGTATTAATGGAATCATAAGTAAATTTTTAAAAGATTTGTAATTTGTGTAGGAACCTGATATATATGTATTTATCTTTTATTTTCAAGCAGCTAGCCAATTTCCTGTTAGTCTAGGAGCTATAAACTACAGAAATACTTCCTTCTTGGAAATATAACTTATGGTCTGTAAATACATATCAAATCAAAGTCTACTGTTTATAAGACATTAATTTTGTGTAAAAACATTAACGTTACACTTAAACGTGTTACTCATTATTTAACATGATTGTAGTTATTAGTGTGAATACATTACTACAAACGTGTTACTCATTATTTAACATGATTGTAGTTATTAGTGTGAATACATTACTACAAACGTGTTACTCATTAT